TATTGTTATTATTATAAATTTTATTTTATTGTGAAATAAAATTGGATAATTATATTAAAATATGATAAATAAATAGAGATAATATAAATTTTTATATGTTTAAGGACAATTCAGTTTGATTCTTTTATATGTACAATTCTTATTTATATATTTTTCAAATTATAGACAACTGAACGCAATTGGATAGAGGCAACATTTCAAAAAAGAGAATGTTCAAAATTTATTCCGTGTGCGGAAGATGAGCATAGGTAAGAGTTCTGTATAAAAACTTGTGTATGTAGAAAGAAAAATAATATTTATAAAATAAAATTATGTGTATACTTTTGATGCTAAAGATTTTATGCATTATAAAATTTTGCATTGAATTATAATTATATAAACAATAATATGTTATGATATTATTTACTACAAGTATTGTCATATACATAATATATATATATAGCATTATAAAACTTTATAGCATATGCATAACAATTACACAAAGAAAATATAAAGTTATTAATTAATACAGATATAATTTTAAAAAATAAACATTTTTATACTAAAATATTGTATTACTATAGGTGTTGTTGTGGCAATTCGTATACTCATCATTGCGGAATTGGGGCAGATGTTCAAAGTTATAATCTTAATACTAGCATAGAAAAAGATAGTGAACAATGGTCTGTAGGAAAAAATACTTGCGCTTTTCCCACCGATGCGTATGGTACTATAGAATTTCAGGGCGGCCCGCACCCTACAAAAGCACAAGTATCTGTCCGATATTTTTTATATTATCAATATTATTATTGTACCTATGAGCGAAAAAACTGATATAATTATCTATAATTTGCAGTATGTAAGATTGGCTTATGATACACGACCGGAACCAATTGTACAGTTATTATGTCGAGAATGGAATTTAGGTTTGCCCAAATTGTTAATTACAGTCCATGGTGGTCGATCAAATTTTGAGCTTCAATCGAGTCTGAAAAAAGTTTTACGTAAAGGTTTATTGAAAGCTGCTAAAACAACGGGAGCATGGATATTCACGGGAGGAACAAATACAGGTATTTATTCATGGAAAGAGTAAGTTTAATGAACTTTATTTTTATATGTTTTTTATTTTTGCATAGGTGTTACGCGACAAGTCGGCGATGCTTTATTGTTGGAACGTTCTCAACGACAAGGTCGAGTAGTAAGCATAGGTATTGCCCCTTGGGGAATTTTGGATAAAAGCCATGAGTTAATTAGTCGCGGTGGAGAAGTATCATACGATTCTGTCTCCTCACCATGGTAGGAGAGTTCATATACCTATAAGCAAGGATGTGTTATTAAAACGTCGAATTGTTTAAGAAATTTTAAAATATGTCTATTTTGTGATTTTCTAGGACTAAATACACAGTACTAAATAATCGACATGCTTACTTCTTATTAGTAGACAATGGTACTGGTGGTCAATATGGTGCAGAAATTGTTCTTCGTAGAAGATTAGAGAAATACATTTCAAATTTAAAGTTGCAACCATGTAAGTATTACAAGGGGAGCCGAATTTCTATAATATTTAAAAACTTCTGAGATTCATTGTTAATTTTAGATACACACAGCAGCATACCTGTAGTTGCCTTAGTTATCGAAGGTGGGACAAATACAATCCGCGCAGTTTTGGAGTACGTGACGGATGATCCACCTGTACCAGTAGTGATTTGCGATGGCTCAGGACGTGCAGCTGATCTAATTGCTTTTATGCATAAGTAATAGCGAACTTTTGCTTTCCATGTGTATCTAAAAAATAAGTAATTATGTGTATATTGAGATATATCTTTTATACAGGTGGAGAGATGGACAGACTGGTGATGGAGAAGGACCACTGGAGGGTGTTAAGGAACAAGTTCTGGAAACCATTAAACGCACTTTTCAAGTTTCTGCCGAACAAGCGAGCCAACTCTGTTCAGAACTCTTGCAATGTACACGAAAGAAACATTTGGTATCTATATCTTTTATTATAAATAAGATATATATCTTTGTATCATATAAACATTGGACTGAAAATTATTTAAATGAAAATTATATTCATAGATTACTGTATTCAGGATATCGCAAGATAGACCACAAGAACTTGATCAAACTATATTGACAGCTTTGTTTAAATCGAAACAATTATCACCAGCTGAGCAGCTGTCTCTTTCTTTAATATGGAACCGCGTAGATATTGCTCGAAGCGAAATTTTTATATATGGTCAAAAATGGCCGCCTGGTGCTCTAGAACAGGCTATGATGCAAGCGCTTCAGCATGACAGAATAGACTTTGTGAAACTTCTATTGGAAAATGGAGTATCCATGCGGAAATTTTTATCAATACCTCGTCTTGAGGAGCTGTATAACACAGTAGGTCAACTTTATTTCTGTATGAACAACTTCTTAGTAAACAATTTAAATATGGATACAAAAGAGATATTTTATATTATAAATTAGTGATTATGATAGAACTATTTCTCCTTTAAATTTATTTCTATATAAATAAAATCAAAAGAGAAAAAATATTATAAAAGATATGGTAAAATATGTATATATTTTGAAAAATATGAAGACATTATATTTCTAATATATATATAATTATTTGAAAATTCTTATTTATTTCTTTTTTAGTATATGGAGAAAATTATTGGTCATATATTTTTGTGAAAAATTAGATTGTAAATATTACACTTTTTAGGATAACTTTATAAGTATTATAGTATATTAAACAATTTCTTTTGACGCGCGATGAAGAAGAGCTGAGTGTGCGGCTCGCCGTCCACCGGGTACATGAGGTACGTACATATGCATATATGTCATGCATACCGTAAACATACCGTGAACGACACTCTAGAGTCATGTCAACGCACATATGTGTGGTCTTGTATGAGAAATTCTTTTTCTTTTCACGATATCGTTTTTTACGTTCCTCTCCTATCTCGGTTACGTTAATGAGAATTGAGGTTATCTCTTGTAAATAAATTATTAATGTTTTTTTTTTTTTTTTTTTTTTTTTTTTTTTTTTTTTTTTTGGTGGGTCAATTAGAAGGAAGGCCCATCAAATACGTTAGGCTACATTCTGCGCGATGTACGGCCGAATATCCCACGAGGTTACATGTATACGCTACATGACATTGGTCTCGTGATTAACAAACTAATGGGTGGAGCATATCGCGCTCAATATACACGTAGAAGATTTCGCGTTATTTATACGCAGGTAATGAAGAGATCTGGTGGTGGTTATCAGCAATATATGCACCGGAACAGTTGTGTTCCGAACAGCAATATACGCTATTATGCAAGCTCCAGTGGAAAGTCCGATCAAAGTGTAACTGTGAATCTGCTTACTGAAACATCGCCAGCTAATCGCGATACTCCTCTCTTCCACTATCCTTTTAACGAACTGCTTATTTGGGCTGTATTAACGAAGCGTCAGCAAATGGCCTTATTAATGTGGCAACATGGGGAGGAGGCGTTGGCTAAAGCGCTTGTTGCTCTGAAACTGTACAAGGCGATGGCGCATGAGGCAGCTGAAGATGATCTGGAAACTGAAGTTTATGATGAATTACGTGGCTATGGCAAAGAGTTTGAAAACATAGGTATAGACGAATATCAGAAATTTGTTTAATCAATATAAATCATGTCAAATCTATTTTTTATATAGCACTCGAATTATTGGATTATTGCTATCGACAAGATGATGATCAAACGCAACAACTACTAACTTCGGAACTTCAAAATTGGTCAGGGCAGACATGCTTGTCTCTCGCAGTTACAGCGAACCATCGACCGTTATTAGCGCATCCCTGCAGCCAAATTATTCTAGCTGATTTATGGATGGGTGGCCTTAGAACGCGTAAAAATACTAATTTAAAAGTAATTGACTTATTTGCTAAATTATTTAATTTACAATTGATTAACCAAATATCAAATATTTATGCATTTATTAAATGTTTTCTTAGGTGATTATGGGACTATTTTGCCCTCTGTACATAACGCGATTGGAGTTTAAGAGCAGAGAAGAATTGCAGCTAATGCCCCAGACGCAAGAGGAACATCTGATAGCACTGGAAGATGAGAAGGAAGACAGCGATTCTGAACAGAGTACACCAGCAGGACCTGATGTCGAGGTAATTATTTTTTTATTTCTGAAATATAACAATTATTTCTTGAAGAATTTCAGATGTAATTATCGTTAGTTAACAACTATATCCTGACTGTTTCCCATAAAAGATTGTAATGATTTAATAATGATGAAAGCATGTCATATAAATTGTATTAATCATATGAAAACTGTATATAATTTAAAATATGTACATTCATTGCACATTATTAGTTGAAAGATTATGCAAATCTTAAATACATCAAGTGCTAAATATTAACATTAATTTTTTGTTTTCAATATTACATGATTAAAAAACATATAATCAGATAAGTAATATGGATGCTGGTTTTGCAAAAGAGATCCCAAAAGAGATTTCATCTCAAAATTATGTAAAAACATGCACAATATGTTGTTTTAAAATAATACTCATCTGGGTAACACATAAATCAATATTAATGCATAATCTCTCCATTTGGCTTATATTTTTTTATTTTAATACAGTTATATTATTTTATCATTGATTATATTGATTAAAACAATATAATCTTGTTTTTTATTTTGCTTATACTGTGTAATATTTACGTTATTAACATGATCATTGTTGCACCATTATAATTATGGATTAAGGGATATACTTTTCATACATAACTTCAAAAATTAATTGTCTTTATTAAGGGTGCGTTGAATCGCTTGTAACATATAGACTATGTGGGTATGCGTATTAATTATTTTTTAGACACATCTGCGCAGGAGCCTGAGCATACGCAACAAATCCAGCAGCCAACAAGGCGTAAAGGTATATCTATACTGGTCTGAACGCTGTGATTGTATACAATAATCATATTTTCTGGTGCACTCTTAAACTATTTTTTATTTTATTGTTTTCAGTTTTTATTAGTCATATTTCATAATCATAGTAGTTTTTTTCATGTACATGTTCACTTTGTAAAGGATAATAAAACAGTGAAACATATTCCTTCAAATGTTAAAAACTAAATGTTCTGTATTATAATAATGTATATAATACTTTTGCTTGATGTGCCAAAAAATAACTTTTCTTACGTATATATAAATGTCCCAGTAAGTTGTTGCAAAAGTCTCTACTCTCGATCTTTTTTTTATAAATAAAATTTTTATGTTTTTCCAAAATATGCTATTGAGATTTGCTTATATTATAAATTATAATCATTTATGTGTGTATATTATATAAATTATAATCATAATTTAATTTTGTGAAAACTTGTTATGTAATTTTTTATTTTCTTTTATTATGATTTGATAATCTTATTGCAATCCTTTATTTGCCAAATGAATTAGTTAAATATACATCAAGTGTAAAAATTTAAGAGAGATACAAAATATATATATAAAACTTATATTTATTAATTAATTGAAAATCGTTGTTTTAATTTTTGTTACTATTGATGTAAATATTATGTTATAAATACGCACATTTTTATTGATTTCATACTTTATAAAATAATTTTTCTAGTCTTACAGACATTTATGAATTTCTATTTTGTCTAATTAACTTTGCCTACGATATAAATGTTATTTTTTACGCTAGTTTTTATGGCGAATGATTACATAGAACTAAACTAAATCTCCTTTTTTCTGTTCACACATTAAACATTTTGATATTAATATCCATTTGACCATGCACTGAGAAATTTGTTAAACTTTATGTATGTAATGTTCTTCCCAGTATATACAAATGATCTATTTGAATAGCTCTAAACATTTTACACTTTTCTATAGGCTTTAATTAGCGACGAGCACAATACAACAATAGTCAAGGAGACAATTGTTCAAGAGAATGGGAGAGTATTAACAGATAATGACGATGGAATATATCGCGTTTATAGTCTTCAATCTGAGTATTACGATAATAAAACAACCAGACCATTAAGATTAAGAAAGAAATTATACGAATTTTATACTGCTCCAATTACAAAATTTTGGGCAAATGCTGTGAGTAAAGATATTTATCATTATAATATTTTATAGCGAAATTCGATGCATCCAGTGGAGTGCACTTGATAATTCATAAGTCTGATATATAAAATCAGTTTCATATATGTTAAATTATTTCACTTGAGAGAATTTCATATTTAAACTTCACATTGTTCTCTTTTTTTGTATAAACAAAATTATAGATCTAATAAGTAAATAAATAAATCTTATAAAAACTGCAATACATAGTATAGTACAATATTCTGTTTAATTATTTTTCTTTAATACAAATAAATATTATAATATTGGAAAGCAAAAATATCTATTTTTAAGAAATAATGTAATCTATAGTTATGTATAGTAACATAATATTTACATAAAATAAAAAATAGATTTTTGTTCAAATCCATATGCAATTTCTCTCTTAAGTTATATTTAACTGTACTGTCAAAAATCGTTATGTACGACTAAAACAGAGATTGCACTGATGCAGCCAACCGAAATTCGCTATTATTAACATGTATTCATATTTACTGTCCATATAAAAGGAGTTGCAATAAAAAATACAATACAATATAAATATTTTTTTACAGATAGCATATATTATCTTTTTGCTTTTCTTTTCGTACTGCATTCTGGTACATATGGATGATCATCCATCATTAGCCGAAATATACGCGATTGCTTACATCTGTACGCTCGGATGCGAAAAAGTACGCGAAATCGTAATTTCGGAACCTGTGAAGCTCTCGCACAAGTTTAGCGTGTGGGCGTGGAACATGTGGAACCCATGTGATGCTGCTGCAATCATATTTTTCCAAATTGGACTGGCTTTACGTTTACGACATTCAACTTTCGATGTAGGTCGCGTCATATATTGTGTTGATTGTATCTACTGGTATTTACGAATACTCAACATCCTTGGTGTCAACAAATATTTTGGTATGCTTAATGTCAAACTAAAAGAGTAATTTAATTTTACGCGTGGAAGAATCTGTTTAATTAAATAAAACAACTATGCATATGTGTGTTTGTATTGTGAATGCATATCTTACATAATGTTTTATATCATTTTATAAATACATAATAATTTATATTTTATAGGTCCTCTTGTGACCATGATGGGAAAGATGGTTAAAAACATGATATACTTCGTGGTACTTTTGCTAGTTGTATTAATGAGTTTTGGTGTAGCTAGACAAGCTATATTAAATCCAAATTCTGAGCCAAAATGGCGCATAATACGAGACGTACGTATATATTCTCCTTCACATATATTGTTAAAAAGAAATTCTGTATATATTTTAATTTTTATTTATATATATCTATAAATGTTATATTTTTTCGACAGATATTTATGGAGCCATATTTTATGTTGTACGGAGAAGTGTATGCCGATAATATAGATCCTGATTGTGGAGATGAACCGGGAATGATTCAGTGCCTTCCAGGTCGTTGGATCATGCCTGCTGCAATGTCCGTGTATCTTTTAGTTGCCAATATTTTGCTGATAAATCTTTTAATTGCGGTATTTAACAATATTTTTATTGAGGTAAATGCTATAGCTCATCAAGTCTGGATGTTTCAACGGTTTACCGTCGTTATGGAATATGAACAGAAGCCGGTGTTGCCGCCGCCGCTTATAGTGGTTTGCCACATATATTTACTACTGAGATATTTTCTAAGACACATACAAGGTAAAAGTGGCACCGGTGAGACTTGCGACAATGGATTAAAATTGTTCTTAGAGAATGACGACATGGAACGGTTGTATGACTTTGAAGAGGATTGCGTTGAAGGCTACTTCCGTGAACAGGAGCTCAAGTTACAAATGTCTACAGAGGAACGCGTGAAAGTTACAACGGAACGAGTAGAGAATATGTATCAGAAGGTTGAAGACATCGATAAGAAAGAAAGCACTCAGAATGCATCTCTTCAGGTTGTTGTAACTTTTTAATTAATATATTTTTATTACTAGAATCGCGCGATCAAAAGTAAGATTGAAGACATCGATAAGAAAGAAAGCACTCAGAATGCATCTCTTCAGGTTGTTGTAACTTTTTAATTAATATATTTTTATTACTAGAATCGATCAAAAGTAAGGTTCCCTGTTTTATAACGACCTATTTTATTATTACTTGTGCACAAATTGAACAATTGAATATTGTGTTAAAATAGAAGTTATGACTACTTTCATTAGTCTTAGTCTTATAATTAGACTTAGTCTTCAAAAGATGCTGCGACAATGGATTAAAATTGTTCTTAGAGAATGACGACATGGAACGGTTGTATGACTTTGAAGAGGATTGCGTTGAAGGCTACTTCCGTGAACAGGAGCTCAAGTTACAAATGTCTACAGAGGAACGCGTGAAAGTTACAACGGAACGAGTAGAGAATATGTATCAGAAGGTTGAAGACATCGATAAGAAAGAAAGCACTCAGAATGCATCTCTTCAGGTTGTTGTAACTTTTTAATTAATATATTTTTATTACTAGAATCGCGCGATCAAAAGTAAGGTTCCCTGTTTTATAACGACCTATTTTATTATTACTTGTGCACAAATTGAACAATTGAATATTGTGTTAAAATAGAAGTTATGACCACTTTTCAATATAGTCTTCAAAAGATGCACTTGTCTCATTTTGGCACGATTTTGAACATTTCCTCTCGGTAAAAAATCAGTTTTTGATGTTTAAACCACTCTTGAACAGCTGAATTATCTGAAAATCGTTTTTCTTCAAGATGTTTCTTCAGCGGCTCAAACAAATGAAATTTGGAAGAAGCCAAATCTGGGCTATAGGGAGGATACTTCATAATGTTTCAATCAAATAATTACAAAAGTGTCTGAGTCTGATGCAGAATGAGGTCTGATATTATCGTGAAAAAAATTCATAAGAAAGAGATCTGGGCTTCTCTCTAGAGAGAATATCTATATAGAGCGAAAATATTCAAACTTGTGCCAAGATGGGGCAAATGCATTAATCTTCTCGAAGACTGTATTGAAAAGTAGTCATTAGCTTTTATTTTATTAACACAATATAAACCCAATTCGTGCATAGATTGTAAATAAAAGTAATAAAACAGGGAACCTTACTTTTTGATGCACCCTAGTACAGGTGCTATATATGAGCATAACATATTTTTTATCAACATTTATGAAAGTTTCTTTCATGTTTAGGCAGTCGAGTTCCGTATCCGCAAATTGGAGGAATTGAGTCAACAGACTGTGGCTCATCTTGGAGTGATTCATCGTTTTATGGCAACTTACATGCCCAATGAAGGATTATCCGGTTTAGAAACATTAGACAGTGTTCGACAGCGTCGAGTATCGGAACGATCAGAGGCTTTCTCCGAAGCGGACTCTCACACGCAACTACCAACGGCCGCGCGGCGCAAAAGGCTTTTGCGATCCTTTACCGATGCCGCTTTCTTAAACGTCGGCCATTTGACAGAGGACGACAAAATATCTGAGACTGTAACTTCTCGCGATAATCTAAGTAGACACGATTCTTCTGCAAGTGTAAACGCTCATGACGACGTCAAGACAACCATAAGTTTGGAAACTGAAGGTAGTAAAAATGTCCTCGAAGGCGAAGCAACCAGCAAAAAGGAAGCGCCGTACGAGAAAGGAATAAGTCTGAATACTAGTAGAGAAGTGAGCAGAGAAGCAAGCAAAGAAGTAAGCAGAGAAGTCAGCGTGGAAACTACTAGCAAGGAACAGAGCAAAGAAGTTAGTAGGGAGACTAGCAAGGAGGCCAGTAGCGAACATCCGCCCTCAGATATTAGGCAAGATTCCGCGGAACATACGTACCGACAAGATTCTACGGAGCGTAGTGCATACAGACAGAATAGTAAAACCCGATCAGAACCCGACGATATCATGTTGCTTCCTCCGCCCGGTATCCAGAGAGGCGTGACTTGGGCGGAACCACGCGTGGCTGTAATCCCGTCCTCGGTTACCTCGGCTGGTAGCGCCCAAAGATCGATCCTGCTGACGATGCGCGCAGAGTACACGAGCATAACGGACGAGCTCGAGAGCTATTGTGGTTTATTGAGTCCACCGCGAACGCCGCCGATCTCGCCACCGCCATCGCGAATATCGGAGATCTCGAATCCTGCGATGGCCTGGCAGATCGAGAACGAGCATTTACGTAATGCGGAAGAGTGCGACTACCAGCAGATGGAAGATCTGATACAACGACGTTACTGCGGCAACGATGACGACGATGGACCATCATCAAACGCGCATACGGACGAAGCCGTTGTGAGCTTCCTCGACATGCCCAACGAGCATCGTCAGTTGCGTCGAGCCTCTGCCATCGAAGAGGATTCCCGCCGGCCGCCGCCGACAATTAGCGTAACACGCGAAATCGAGCAAACGCTCGCGCGACCGACGATACGTGACTCGGAAGCGACTGATCCGAACGGCAAGAATTTAAATACCGTACCTGCCCCCGCCTCTGAAACTATGTGTTAAATAACGAAGAGAGATATGCGCTTTGTATAATTATTTTTATTCAAGTTCCAAATATTTAATATTTGAGACTCAAAATAATTGTCGCGTATTATCTGTTTCGTGATCATGTTTTTATTATCAGATATACTATTTATTGATTTTTGATAATGTGATTTGATTGTTTTATCAATGCAACAGATTTTGGACAATTTTAGCAATTATATAAGAAGTTATATATAATTATAATCTTTAATAGTCATTTCTCTTGTAACATATTAAACTACAGCCACAAGATATATCTTCTGCAAGTTTTGACTTGGAACAATTTATCACGGGCTTATATGCTCATGATTTGCGAGATAATTTCGCATATATGGCCTAAATAGTATTTTTTTAGCAAATTAAGTAATTATGCATTTTATTGTATAATAATGTGTATTTTTATCGAATTTTACATTATGTTACTACATTAATGTTTTTAACATTCTATAACGAACGAGACGCATGTATATATGTTATTATCATTGATCTTTCAACGTATTATCGTATATAATAGAAGTGTTAAATAGAAGTGGAATTTCTTTTGTATTCTAAGATTGTTTACTGCATCTTAGAAATTATCTCTAGTGCATCGAATTATATGAAAGTCATATATACGTACTGTGTTCTAGAAAAAAAGCAATATTGCCTCTACTTCTATCAATCATTTGATAGATTCTGTGCATTCAGAATTGATCCTTCCATTCGATAGATTGTAACTTTGATTTTATATACGCATTTATTTAGCTACAAATAATATTGTAGAATAAAATATTGCAACAAGGATAAATCCACTTGTAACGCTGACTGTGCATAAGTACTTAGCGAATAAATCGCATCTCACAATAGTTTATGCATGGTTTAGATATATAATATCGATTGGGACTGTATAAAAAGAAGATATTGTAAAGAATTAGGATTGTGAAAGATAGGCTCGTTATGTAAAAATAAGTTGAGGCAAGTTACAGGACTGTAACTTTATTATCCTTACTGCCGAATACTGTAATCGAGATAATTTTTTGAGGTATGTTTAGGGCCTTACACAACGCACTTTCTATTGCGTTAGATTTCATGGACCATTCGAAAGCAAACCATATCACGCAGAAGTTCTAGTGAACTAAGCCAGTCTGCGTTAGTACAATTGCATGTATCTAAAAACAAAACTTTGATATATATTCCTGTATCCTTAAAATGCCTAATAATGTATATATGTGTATATATATATATATATATATATATATATATATATATATATATATATATATATATATAAAGTCAAGAAGAGAGAAAGTGGCGAATTTAAGCGTGTTTAAAACATTAATATTAATAAAATTTAAAATATATTACTTAATTAAATTTTAATATAGCTATTGGTTTGCTATTTATTTTAAATATATTAGCAATTTTCTACATTTTTGCTTAGATTAAACATTGTGTATAATATTGGATCATATATTCAACAGCTATTTTAATCAACTCTTGTTGCGATGAACATTTGCGGCGCAAATGTACATAATTAATTGTATGTAAAATGTACGTAATTATTAATTGTACGTTAAATGTACGTAATTATTTGTGAGAAGTTTTGTAACTCAATGATGTAAAACCAAGTTTTTAAAAAGATTTCAAATAATAATTAAATTATGTATATACGTGGATGTACGTGTGATACACATAGCATGTCTCAAAATCACCTTTATCAATTTGGAATCGATTTTTTCTTAGCGAAAATAACGAGAGAGATCATCATTTATATTTATGGCAAGAGTTTCCAATTTTTTTATTCATATTTTTTTCTAAGGTTTAAAAACTAAAATTTTATTGAAATATATATATAAAAACTCCCCCATCTATAAAATTAACTGAAAAATATTTTATTATTTTTCTGACTTTCCAAAATTTTTAATTTATGAAAAGTTTTTCTTTTTTAATCGTTTGCAATTTAAAAATTATTAATGTTTTGGCAAGGAAGAACAGAGTCCAAATTAGTCAAAAAACTGCCATTAAAAGGACATTTGGTGGTTTCGGAACATACTATGCATGTTATGTATGTGTGTAGAATGTTCAAAAATTTATGGTACAAATTTTACATATAATACTTGTTTATACAAAGTAAACAAAGCGGTTTTATACATGTATATCCAAAAATTAATCGTTTTTGAGTTACAAAAATGCTTCCAAAAATTTCTTATGACGAAAAAAGATATTTTTATTTTATAACAAAAAGAAAACGATTTTCAAACATATTTACTAACATTTCTATGTTTATTTTAATGATTAGTATACTCGTGTATAAAATTTGTATTATAAATTTTTGAATACTCTGTATAAAATCGTTAATTACAGAAATATATTTAAAAAGGGATATATTAAAACATTTTATAAATATATTTAAAATATCATAAATATCAAAAATCTTGTAGACAATATAGATACGTGTATACACTTTTTGCAAGAATAATTGGCGGCTTACATTGAGAGTATAAATAACATAAGCAATGTGTGAAATGTACAATATGTAATACATAGTGAAAGAATTTATTCAAATTATTACTTATACAAAATTGGCAATAGGGACATAGGAAAATAACAGATTTATTATCATAATTTTTGTTTGAATAATTTCGAATTACAGGTTTTCCTAAATTCACACTACTTTCTTACACTACTTTTTAAACTGTCTGAATAAAGCAAGAAAGGTGTAATTATATTTTTCCATCCGCCAATATTAACTTGAATGTATTTAAATGTGGCCGACAAATTTTTTTTGTTCCCAAAAAATATAAGAATTGTGCGCGTGCACGCGCGCGCGCCCGCGCGTGTGTGTGTGTGTACATATATATGTATAATTCTTATAACTCTTATACACTTGTAATATATTATCAAAAATATATAATGATTATCATACACGTGCGCACGTATATGTATATGTATATGTATATGTATATAAGAACTTCCTTAACTCGTCATGAAGCTGATGCTCTTTTAGAATGAGGCTTCTTAATTTTATTATAAATTTTATAAATTATATTGTTGTGTAAATTTAAAAGCGCAATATTATATATATTTGTAAAATGTCTGTAAAAGATAAAAAAATAATAGAAATGGAAATATTATCTATTATGAGTAATATTTAATTGTTAATTAGTTAATTGCGCAATAAATTTATTCTATATTTAATCAGGCTAATATTAATGTTGATATGACATTAATTTGCAAGAAGTTTTAATATATGTTTAATAAATATATATAAAAACATACATGTGCATATACATATGGCAAATTATTTGCTAACATTAATTTTATTTTCGTACACAATGATATGTAAAAATTTTACGGTACCGACAGCAAGTCCTGTCTTAATTCTATCCTAATATAATTATGCACATATATTATATTACACATATATATATATAATTATGCAAGAAATTTCTGTGTAAAAATATCAAATAATAACTATAAGAATGCTAGTTATTATAACTATTAATATAACAATGATAATAACTGTATGAACTTCTACATATGTTTTCACATTATGTATTTATACTAATTGTATACTTACTTTCATTGCTCCTTCCATCCGCATATAGGTCATAAGTTTACGTCTTGCTGCAACAAGGAGCAAGTATAATCGGGTGACGGAACGACACAATTATATATATATATATATATATATATATATATATATATATACATATACGATGTACATATTCATATTATTTGTACTTTACTGCACACAGATTTACATATTTATTTTTGATTTATATAGTTAATAATATTTTTCTCTCAAACATTTTTGTTGAATATTTCATAAAATCTGAATGCTAGTCGTAGAAAATACTATAAAATTAAATATTAAGATGCATAAATTACGTAATCGCGTAACACTTTGGAGAATATAAATAGAAGAAATCAAACAAGCATTACAAGCGTTACCATTTCGATTTTAACTAAGCTAAATATAAACTATCCAGGAAAAAAATAGTCCATATTATATAATATTTCAATACAATTTATCTCAATTAATTGAGATGCTTGAATGGCATCAAAAAGGATTGATTGAATCTTTATCGTATTGTTCCTAATATATTACATGCGCTTTTATGTAAATTGTATAACATTATTACTTAAGATTGATGTTTCAAAAGTTGCAAACATTTATCAAAAATTTCATTATCAATAATAGTGTTTATTGTGCAGTAGAGTCCCGACAACTTTTCCATATAGGGTAAGAGAAGCGGAAAATTCCTTAAAAGGATGGAAATATTATCTATTATGAATAGTAATTAATTATTTAATTGTTAATTAGTTAATTGCGCAATAAATTTATTCTATATTTAATCAGGCTAAAAGCAATATATAGTTATACATAGCTCTACTTATCGGGGCTCTATTGTACCTGATCAAGAAATAAAAAAATGGAATAAAAGCGAAATAATATGTTTTGGCGTGCTTGAAAAATAGCGTATTTGAATTTTGTAGCTATTTAACGATATAGTATTATATATGTATATGATGCAATATATAATACTGATGTTACACTTATTATCAGAAACAAATACGATAGCACGCCAGCATTAAGTGATCGATGACAATTGAATGAAATTGTTAATTGCAATATTTCGGCATTTGTAATTGTTCACCATCGTACAGCTAATGATTGTAAAAATACGTGCCTTCTTGTCGCACTATCTGTTTTTGTAATGTACAAATATTGATTTTTTTTACCGAGTAAATGTTATATTAATTACAACAGTACTGAATATTACAGATAATATTACATATGTGTTATCGATAAGTCATCAGTTAGTTATATCTCATTCATAAATGTAGCATATATAATAACACATATATTATATGATTAGATGGATTTAATTGTAATAAGAGAAATACACTTTCGACTTTTCATCCATTATTGAAACAATAAAGTATTTACACTATTAATACAGAAAGTTTGTTCAATTTTTCATCATTTAATAACTAATCGGCAAATGTTGATGAGTATAATATAATTTAACACAAAAGCTAATTTTTTTCATTGCTAACATTGTTTATCACATTCAGTTATATAAGGTGGTGCACATTTACTGTGCTTTACACCGAACGAAAAAGCGGGTGTTGGCTTGGGTGGTCGAATGGCATATATCGGACCTGGACTTTCGGAAATCACTCGCCATTCTTGTCTACCAGCCATAGTGTACTTCGGGGCTCTGGATTTTACCACTTCCAAGTTGTACGATGGATGGAAACCTGCGCTACGGGTTACGGGTTTCGTCGCGAACATGCGTCCCCTACAAAATAATTTTTCATAATAACTATATGCGAATTATTTCAAAGTAAACAAGTGATCAAGATCACGGTGAAGAGTTAAAACGTACATGAAAAATGCGGGCGCATCAGCGATAGGTTTAACATAGTAAGGCCCTGGTGTTTCGTCACTTTTTCTCATTTTGGTTCTCCATTTCATTGAAAAGAAAGGACCATGAGAAACATCTGGCAATTTATACTTTGGACCAGGTCCGAGAAGGATTTCTGCCAAATGCAAGGGGTCGGAATGATATAAGAAGAAGTTATATATAATAATAAAAGTATATCTGATTTAAATAAAAAAATATTTTGTTACCGCGACGTTTTAAGGCATGTCCAAAGGTGAATCCCTTAAGTTTGCGTTTCTCAATCATGTACTTCGGTCCTGGACCATCTACCACCTCAAAGATGAGACGATGGTTTCCACCGAATGTATATGCTGGCATTCGATATCTCGAGATACAATGGTTCTTGTAACCGACGAGTGTCTTGAGCTGATATTTAGGCCCAGGAGATACTAAATAGGAAATAATGATATCAATTATATTAATTTTGTTATTAATTTTGTAACAAATGTTTTTTGAGATTAAATGCGATAAAAAATGATCGAAAAAATATTACTAATTGTTGAATGCTACTAGTTGTTAAATATAATAGTATATCATTTACACTACTTGTAACATAAGAAAATATTTGCAATTACTACTTTTGGAATATTTTGCTTTAAAAAAAATGTACAGTTGTCTTCACCCCTGTGTGTGATTAATATAAAAGTTAGATTCGACAAACACATATACCAGTAAAACACAGCTCCGTCTCCGTTAGTATCTTTTTCCCATCTTCATCCGCACCCCCGCCTTTTTTCCGCTCTTTTTTCGATAACATTTTTTTACTTGTAAATTTGAAATTTTTATTTAACACATAATACTTTTGCACGTGTCACATCACCATAAATTTAACTTTATTTCACGAAAGAAAACAATTGCCTATATATTATAAAATGTTTCATTGTTTAGTCACATATTCATCATGAAAAAAAAAAGTTATTACTAAAAATAATAATATTTTGCTTTTTTATCATTATCTAAATAAATTTGTGTACCTTTTGTATATTATACTTCATATATACAAATCTAAAAAAGTATTTCACAGGTATTTACATAAAACAGATTTTTATTGTAAACAAATATAAATACAACACATACTACGTACAGTGTATTTACCCGCGCACGCAGATACACACACACACATTATATATATATATATCATTTTTTAGTTATAAAATGTCAATCTTCATCAAGTTGTGTTATAGATATTCCGGCACATTCACTATGCTTGATGCCAAACGAATATATAGGTTGACGTTTTTGCGTATCATACAACGGATAAAAAATCGGTGCCGGACTGCGAAATTTTTCTGATAAAATGTGTCTTCCCTTCAAACTATATGCCGGACTTCGTCGTTTTATCATATTATGATCAATATTGATATAAGCGGCCGGGCCTGGACTCATAATTTTTTCATGGATTTTATGATAATGAGAGCTGTGAAAAGAGATATAAAAGAGGGAGAGAGGGGAGGGAGAATAAGGGAAGAATGACGAGAAGGATAGAGGGAGTAAGAAAGGAAAGCAAAGAGGGAGGAGAGAGGGAAGGGGTGGATTAATGTATTACATTAAATGGAAATAAAAGCTGCGCGCGCGCGCGTGTGTGTTCTTACATAGAAAATGCACCCTGAGCGCGCTTATCGGGCACTTTGGGTCCTATACACGTTGGTAAAGAATATGAATTTGGTCCAGGTCCTTCATCTAAAATTTTTATTACACCACGTGACTTCATACTATAAGCTGGTGCTCTACGATTGTGATTCATCGGTGGGCACGATTCGGGAGAATAAGCTCCAGGTCCCGGTGCTAAATCTCGCACTATCAAAATACGAATATATATTAATTAATATTAATTAATATTTTCCCGACTTTTATCAGAAAAAAGCTATATCTTATATGCTTACATCTCAATATTTCTCTGCCTCTAATTGTATATGCAGGTGGATTATCAGATCCAGACTTTGTTAAATTTCTAATATTGTAATGAGGACCAGGACCTATTACATAAGTTCTTATGCCAGTTCGAGCTTGCATACTGAACGCTGGATTTCTGTGCCGAGACGGATCATGGCCGTTATAGCCAACTAACGATGGCAATTTGTAAACTGGGCCAGGACCTATATTCAAAAATTCATATAGTGAATATAATTCATGGTTTATACAGCTCAAAATAAATAATTATCGGACAACTTATTTTTTATCATGCAGCTTAACATTTTCGGCTTATGTTCTTTGCCCTCCATTCCTATTGTTACCTGATATATACGAAAGACATAACAAAACGTAAAATCTATATAAAGATCAGTTGAAAAGATAATATAAAAATTAAAAAAAAAAATAGATTCTTTATAACATTACAGGTTATTAAAATATGAATATGTATAAATCATGTATAAATTAGATGTATAATTGATATATTCATAGTAATCAATGTATACCACGCGCGCGCGTATATATGTGCTCTTTTTAATTTTGGCCTTAATTTTTTATAGGGTATTTTATTTCTTTATTGAGAGCG